GGTCATTTGATGGAGGATTGCAAGGTTTATAAATCCTTCCTCGAACAATTGGCGAGACGGACACCTCGAGGAATTCATCGACAGGGGTCGTCCCGGCGGGTCGGCGAGGGAGCGAGCCGAGGTGCCAGCTGAGGTAGCACCCGTGATTGATGTTATTCATGCCTGCAAAGTGGAGTGACCTACATACAACTCCCTCTGCGCCGAGTTACAAAGGATCTCTCAAGTAGTCAGGGAGGACGAAAAGGGTGATGAGCGGGCACCCAAGAAGCCACGAAGCGGTGCCGAGGTTATCCAGTTTTCTGATGCTGATCTCAGCGGGGTAGTCCTCCCTTATGAGGATGCATTGTTGATCACTTTACGGGTCGAGAAGTTCGACGTCAAGGGGATCTTGATGGAATCGGGTAGTTTTTCTGAGGTAATGTACGATCACCTCTTCTGCAAGATAGGACTCTCTCAGGGGGATCTGGAACCCGTAAAACCCCCCCTCATTGGCTTCAATAGTTCCAGCGTGCTGCCCCTTGGAAAAATCACCCTCATGGTACGAGCAGGGGTGGCGACCACGCCAATAGAATTTATGGTAGTGGACTCCAACTCCCCTTACAACCCTATTATGAGGAGATCGTGGTTGCATGTAATAAAGGCGGTCTACTCATCCTATCACCAGAAAATAAAGTTCCCAACACTGTAGGGCATAATGGAAATCCGGGGTGATCAGGCGTCGGTGAAAAGCTGTTTCTATGCCGCGATGAAAATGGGAGTCAGCGGTCGGAGTCAGGAGCGTGATCTCGATGCGGTGGTTGCCAAATAGCAATCACAGAACGGTCGTCCGGGAGTGGACGAGCCCATTACAGAGCCGGCTGACCGGTCTACTGAGGCCTTGGTGAAGATTCTCTTAAGCCCAGATAGCAGTGAGAAGTACTTTTTGATAGGAGAGTCACTCAGCGAAGCAGAGAGAAATGATATGACCTCATTTTTACGCCACAATGCCGATGTCTTTGCGTAGACCCAGGCCGAGATGACGGGGATAAGTGCCGAGGTGATGACTCATTGGCTCCATGTGAATCCCTCATTCAAACCTGTTAGGCAAAAGGCCCAGAGAATGACGCCTCATCACGCGAAGGCTGTGAATGAAGAGGTGGATAAGTTGTTGGGGCCAGGTTCCATCAAGGAGGTACAGTTCCCCCAGTGGCTATCCAATATCGTGTGCGCTAAGAAGAAAGAAAGAAAATGACGAGTTTGTGTGGATTTCACGGACCTGAACAAGACTTGCCCCAAGGACGAGTACCCCTTATCCAAGGTTGATCAGCTGGTAGACGCCATAGCTGGCCACAAGCGCATCACCTTTATGGATGCTCGGGCTGGATATCACCAGATTTCCCTGCATGAATCAGATCAGGAGAAAACGACGTTCATCATGCCCCAGGAAATCTACTGTTACACGGTGATGCCTTTTGGGTTGAAAAATGCTGGGGCGACTTACCAACGTTTGATGAACAAAATTTTTAAAGACCAACTCGGCGAAACGATGGAGGTGTACATTGATGTCATGTTGGTCAAAAGCAAAGAGGAGGCCGACCATTTCTATGATCTCGGGACGACATTCGCCATCCTCCAGAAATATGGCCTAAAACTAAACCCCTCGAAATGCGTCTTTGGAGTGAGCTCAGGAAAGTTTTTGGGGTATTTGGTTACTCATCGGGGAATCAAGGTGAACCTCGAGCAAATACAAGCAATCCAGAATGTCCAGGTGCTTAGGACCATTAAGGATGTTCAGAAATTGGCCGGGATGTTGACAACCCTTAACAGATTTATTTCCAAGTCGTCTGATAAGTGCAAACCGTTTTTTGCCAAGTTAAGGGGGGCAGCTAAGAGGGTTTGGGACGAGGAATGCGGTCGAGCTCTTGAAGGGATTAAGTAGTACTTGAAACATTCTCCGACTTTATCTGTTCCAGCGGCAGGGGAGGTGCTTAGCCTTTACTTGTCCGTATCTCGAGATGCTGTGAGTGGAGCATTGATCATGGATAGCGAAGGGGCCCAAAGACCCGTGTATTTCATAAGCAAGACCTTGTTTGACGCCGAGACAATGTACTCTCTAATAAAGAAATCAGTCTTGACATTGGTAATCTCGGCGAGGAAACTTCGACACTATTTCTAGGCTCACGCTATAGACGTCTTTACAGACCGACCTCTCAAGCCGATCCTTCATCGAGCCGATATGTTCGGGAGAGTTGCCAAATGGGCTGTAGAGCTCGAAGAGTTTGAAATATAAACTTGGATTAATCACACCACAAAATAAAGAGAGGAACAAAAACTGGTTTTTGCTTTACTCCATTAAACACTTATGACAAGTAATTTCGAAAGCTCTTGGCCAAAGTAAGTACATATTACTTTCAACGTGCAAGCCCATCAAAGACCGTCTTTATTCTTTATGAAAATTTAATTGTGGGTACACCTTGAAGAATGTATTTGATTTTAAGCACATAACTTAGACTTTTAAGCTTTTTAAGTCTTTTTATGTCTAAAATTTCGATCAACAAGTACACATTACAGTTTTTTTTTTTTGTGTATTACCTAATTACCTCGAACTTATTTCATGCATAAATATTTTTGTTTTTTTCAAGTATGTAATCTTATACAAGAGATTTTCAAACTTTTGTAATTTCAGAAATTGTTTGAATTTTAAAAATTAATTCTCGAAAATTCTGTCATTAACAGGCCAACTTCATATTATTCAGCCACTAACATTTTGCGAAAAAGCAACCAGAATTGTGTGTTATTCGGCCATTGTTTTTTTTCGAACCAGTAATTGGGATTTTTCAAAAATTGTTATTAAAAACCGAACTTCATATTATTTAGTCATTGATCTATCTTCGTTAATCATTTACGTTTATTCGAAGTTGTAACTGAATCAAATTGATGTTATGTTATGCATAAAGACATTTTTTCGAAACAGGTTGTAATTGGAGTATATTTTCTTCAACTACCACACATTGGATCTTTTTGTTTTATATTGTGGATCATATTTACCCACATTCATGGTTCCTTCACTTTGATTAATGTTTTACAAACCCTTCTGTAGAGATGTTTCAACGTCTTGTGCTGTCACTGGTTCCCTATGCTTGAGTTCATATTTATTTTTAGAAGACAACCTTGTTTTTGCCATGTCTTAGGAAAAGTTATACAACTTATGCAATAATATGATAACAACTAAGTGAATCTATACATAACACACAAAAAAAAAAAAAACTAGTATAATAGAGTGACAAAGGGTTGTATAATGTTTGTTTGTAATTGTAGTGACAAAGGCATGAAATCAGTTTGTCACTATGTTGTCTCTCTATGACACAATCCAATATTTGTTGTACTATATAGTGGCCAAGCCAAGAAATCAGTTGTCACTCTATAGTGTCTCTACATGAACACAAAGCAGTTTCTGTAGTGGACAAGCAATAAAATCAATTTTTCACTTCATGGTGTCTCTCTATTGTTTATGTTTGATTGCAATGTGGTAGCCTTAAACTGTAACAACAAATAGTGAATCTACACATAACTCCCAAAATTAAAGCTTGGTACTCAATTCTCAAGCGTAGCCTAAATAGTGTGACAACAAAGAATGAATGGACATATAACTCCTAACAATGAAGATTGGTGCTCAAACCACAAAGCTAACCTAATTGTATGACAACACAAAGTGAATCCACACTTAACATATAAACTATGAAAATTAGTACTCAATTCAATTAGTAATTGTGATAATGTGAAGAAAAGAGTGCATCCACACATAAATACAAAAAATTGAAAATTGACACTCAATTCACAAAACTAGGATAAAAGAGTGACAACAAAGCATGAATACACAATTAACACACTCAAACTATGAAAAACAGTACTTAATTTTTCAACAAACTAGTGTAATAGTGTGACAACAAATAGTGAATCTTCAAATAATCTAAAACTTTGAAAATTGGTACTCAGTTTACAAAGTTAAGATAAAAATATGACAACAAAGAGCGAATTCACGCATAAACACCCAAAATAAGAAAAAATATACTCATTTCATATAGTCACCAAAATAGTGTGATAATAAAGAGTGAATTCACTCATAAGTATAAAATCTTCAAATTGCTACTCATTACATACAGTTTATAAATAGTATGTCAACCAAATATGAATCCAAACATTACCCCAAATTTTGAAAATTTATCCAAACCGAATTTTTAAATTTGCTATAGAGTGACTTCATAGTGTGACACTATACAGAAATTTAATGTAAATGATAAAAATTGCTAGAATAAAATTAATTTCAATTTTAACATACATTTGATTTATCAGAAAAGATTATTACATAATTTACAATACAAATAGGGTTTATGCAATATAATTTTTTTGGGGGGAGAAAGAGAGAAGACTTGAACCATTGACTTAAAAAAAAAAAATCATTCACAACATAAGAAATATCATTGAACCAAAAGCTCATTAGTATATATTATAAGTTTTGAGGGTTTTAAGTAAAATAAATAAATAACAAACAAAATCCTTACCGTCAATTGTCGATGCTAATAGAGTGAAGTCGACTTTCTTTGCTGCTTAAAGAAAGAAACAACGTTCGCTAATCTTGAATAAAAATACTAAATTGTTGTATCAGAGCAATTCTTTTTGTTTCACACAAAATGTTGAAATTGTCCTCAAGATAGGACTCCGTAATTTTTGTAACAATGTAATCTATTTTTTTTAATTAAAAAAAAGGAGTCAACAACTCCATTGTAAAACAGAAGCAAGATCAATAATCTCACTTTTAAAAAACATCATAGTCTAATTTCAAAAATGTTGTGTATAGATAAATAAGTTTAAAAACAATTCTATTGCGGTAAATAACTCAAACAAGAAGACCACTAACGTAAGCTAAATGACATAAAATACTTACTCTTCAAACATCAGTCAAAGTGAAGACCAAAAATCTAGAACCTCACGTAGGACCCACCCCAAGAACATTTCACTTCTCATCGATCCATAGGATTCATGATCTCTGAGAACAGAGTCTTATTTTTTAATTTGTCATTGTTGGCCATTGATCTTAACACGTTTTCATCGTCGTTCGTCGTTGATTCTCCATGCAGAGGAGGAGTAGAGGGACTAGTCAACGCTGCTGGCAGTAACCCACCACCACCGCCACCCTGACCCATCATCTCAGCCTCCCCTTGAAGTTGCAAAGCAAACTCAAGGCCCCACAAAACATTATTTATTCCTGGTCGTTTGAACCCATTTTCACGCAAGCAACTATCACCTAATTCTCCAAACTTCTTCAAGCACTCTGGCGCAATCTCCTCCTTTATATTAGGATCAACAATCTGATCAAGGGTCCCATTTTTATAACAATGTCGGGCCCACTCAACCAAATTCACTTGCTCTTCGGGTAAATCTAGAATTATAGCCGGCCTAGTACATGAAACTTCAAATAAAACCATCCCAAATGAGTACATGTCTGATTTCTTTGTCAATTGTTGTCGGTTATAATATTCTAGATCTAAATATCCAAAACTACCCTTCACCATTGGGGTGACATGGTTATGGCCTGCATCTATGTGACCCAATTTGGATAATTCAAAATCAAAAATCTTAGTCACCCATTTCTCGTCCAATAAAATATTGGTGGACTTCACATCACGGTGAATGATCGTGTGATTCGCACATGTATGGAGATAATGCAATCCCTTTGCTGCACTAATACAAATCTGAAGGCGTTGCTTCCACGGAAGACGTGGTTTCTTTGATTTGTAAAAATGATCACGAAAGATTCCGTGGGCCATATAATTATGCACTAAGATCATCTCACAGTTGTCATTGTAGTAACCGATCAACAACACGACATGGAGTTGTCGTAGCTTCGATAGCATCTCGATCTCTATTTGGAACTCGTGGACCCCCTGATTGGATGATGGGTTCAATCGCTTGATCGCAACGGTGGTTGCACCGTTGTCGATGTGGCCCTTGTACACATTACCAAATCCTCCTGCCCCCGATGACAAAACTATCATCGAAGTTGCATGTAGCTGATTTCATCTCCTCAAGTGAAAAGTGTTTGCATAGATTGGACAACAGTGATAAAACGCTGGATAAGGGGACCCATGATGACTTGGGCTTTTTTGAAGCCAAGTCTTTCACTCTTCTCTGTTGCCGAAAAATCAAGAAACTAAGATCAAGACTAGAACAGACCTTCCTCCTAATACGCTGCCAATAATGGCCGAAAAACTAGATGTTTTATTATTGTGCTTTTTCACACCAGCTGTTTCACTCAATTTGAAGATTTCTAAACCATTCAATATAGCATCACCGTAATCAGGTCTATTGTCGAGCTCAGGGTACATAGCGAGCCACAAGTCTTGCTTGCTCCGGCGACCATCTGGGTCGGTGACCATAATGACGTAGTCTTTAAACACCGGGATTCCAGTGCCACCACTCCAGTAGATAACATCTGCTCCTCTCTCTGCCGTTTGATTGTTGATGTAAATTATAAAAACCCCTTGGTTCTCAAGGGTCACCTCCAATTGAATCTCGCAGAAATGGAGCCTGAGAAGATAATAAAACCCAGAATCAACAGGAAATCTCCATGTCAGATTGTATCTTAAACTGTCATTGCCCATGTTCTTGGTGGTTGTGTAAACGATCTTCGGTGCAGTGTAAGGTGGTGTCTCCTGTCTATATCGGATTGCGACGTTTCTGTAAGTTGTAAACCCATAATATTCGTAGGTGTAATCGTCGTCCGGACGCCATAATCAAAACATTCCGGTATCATTGGTTATTGAGACCTCATTACCGCCAACATTTAATCGATAGAGAGTCTCAAGATCAGAGTTGTTATCAATGTAAAATCTTTGGTTCTCGCTCACTAGTGGGATAGGATGATCATTGCCGCGAATGTGGAGATTTTTCGGCATTGAAACGACTTCAATGCCATTAACGAAGGCGTAAGAGTTCGGAGAAGGCCAAAAGGTTATATTCAGTATCTGGTTGTCCCTAACGTTAACGATGAACTCCTTTATAAGGGAAGCAACTGCGGGTTTCATGGCGGAGACAGTGAGGAAGGCACTGAAGTTGTTTAAGAGGGTGTAGTCGCTGGAAGTGAGGGAGAAGAAAGAGTTGGTAATATCGAGGTCAGAGTAATTAACTGGGTAGAAATAGAGACGAATGAATTTTGGTCCTGCAGAGACTGGGAAGGAGTAGGTGAATTGAGAGTGGAAGATACGAGCAGTCTTGTAGGGCACTTGAATGACAGACTCGGAGGATGTAGCATTCGACGACGTGTTTTCATTGTTCGACGGTAAGAATTGTGATCGGACATCGCCGTCCCAGTTCCGAATGCTAACGTCGGTGGTGTTAGAAGCTGAACCACAGTCGAGGAGAATGTGGTCGGTGGGAGTGTAAGGTAGCCAGGCGCCGCTGTCATCTACGGCGGCGGCGATGATGGTGGTGGAGAGGAGGAGGCAGAGAAAGGAGAAGAGTTGGAGAGTTGAGATGAGCATGGGATTGAGCTTCGGAAGAGAAGGGGTTTGATGGTGGTGACTGATCATGATCATGATCATGAAGCTAACAAAGGTAATGGTAATGAACTGTTCCACTATTTGAAGTAGAGCTTGAAATATATTCAGAGCAGAAAATATTCATGGAGGACTACTTTGACTTCTAAGTCTTTGGATTGGTTAATGGGTGGCTAATACTATTTTTGATGAATATGAACTCGATAACCTTGACTTATACATGATATATACATAAGAGTAAGAGTAATGCTACTGGGATCTAAAAATTTGATATAATTTTTTGATATAATGATGTGGTTTCATTGAAATTATTGAATCAACATCAAGTTCCAATGTTTAATGGGGTCTATAATCAATCCAAAAGTCAAAATGAATTAGGTCAACCAGATTTTTAAGTCCAAATAACACCATTCTATACATAATTACGAATAAATTTTATATGAATTAAAAATAAGAGTAATGCTAGATGGACTTAAGAAGCAGACTTAAAAATTAGATCTGATAATCTCAACCAATGAATGGGTAGTGAGTCTTAATAAATGTTGCGACCCATATTGAAATCAAGGGTTGAGATTATCAACTCTAATTTTTAAGTTTACTTTTTTAAGTTCATGTAGCATTGCTCTAGAAATAATAATGTTAAAAGTATTTGTTTTAAAATATATTTTTTATTAACAAATTTGTCCACAACTCATTTAACAATTAATTTGTTTAGCTCAACTCAAAACTTAATATTTCAACATTTAATTTTTAATAAACTTAGATTTCAAAAAAATAAATCAATAAACAACTTATAAGGATTATAAATATTCAAATTGACAAATTTTAATAGAAAAAATTGAATCTATGACAAGCTTATTTGTGCTAAGAATCTATTACAACTTGTGGGTGGTAGGTTTGGTTGTAAGAAAAGGCTTCTAGTGCATGACAAAATTAATAAATAGATTGGATTAGTGTTATGACACTTAACATACTTAATTACGTGAGTTATTTATGGATTAATTAATACTTAACACGAATTCGAAGTTCCACCACATGACTCAAATGTCATGTTAGTTGCAAAAGGAAGAGAAAAAATTAGAGATTAAATAAAGAGTTGTATGAGAAGTTCAACAATTTTTTTACAAACTTTCTATCGGGGCAAATTCTAAATAATGTTAAATTTCTCAAATTTTCAAATAGACTCCAAAAAGTTTTAATATCGTAGTGGGGATAATTGTCCCATGCTAGATTCGCCCCTGCAAGATTCATTTATATTATGTGATTCCCCTTTAAATTTATGAAGAGTGAACTACTATTAATAGAAATTGAAAAAAACTACGAGAATCCAAATCCTACTTAAATGAGTGAATTCTGGCAATTTTGAACAATTGCAATTTTTAACGAAAAAGAATAAAAAATATCATTAGACCCAAATAGTATTAGAGGTGAGCATGGTTTGATGTTTGATAGAGAAGGTGTTTGATGGTGGTGAGTGGTAAGAGCTTATGGGGAAGACTGCGTGGACTTAAAAATTTTTTGATTGATTCATTTATATATTTTGAATGCCACTTAAATTCATAATTAATGGTTTATGATTCAAAAAATTTATGAAAAATATATGAGAGTTAAAGTGAGCGGATATTGGATAATTTCGGGCTATTAAATTATATAAGGAGAAAGAATAAAAATGTGGCTAGGCTACTATGGTTGTTAACCCAATATTTGTTTGAGGTAGGTTTTTCTTTAGCTAGGCTTGTTAAATGATTTGAGAAGTTCAAGTCCGCCTCACTTTTAACTTATTAATATCATTAAATAAATTGAATTTTAATCAAATTTTTGAACTCTTTTAAAAAAAACAAATCAAATTTGAGTAACGTATATCTCAAAAAAAATTCAACTCAACTCAAATAGGTTTCTTATCTATAAATAATTTAGCACAAGAGAATTTCAGCAATGAATAGAGATAACGATCCTCTCGATAATGAACCTAAACAACCAAGAGGTCAGAAAAGGGGCCGGGTGATCACCCGACTTATCTCCTCCGAAGATTAAACCAGTATACATTTGGAGGGTTGAGCATAGTATATCGTTTTCTCCATTTAGTTTGCGTATCTTTGTTCATCTTTCTGAAAGGTATTTATATCTGTACTAGTAATGAGTGAAAGAGTCTTGAGTCCCTTCACGACATTTAATGACTTACAGTCTTCTCCACGCGTAATGAATGTTCTCCACTCAGATCCTCGTGAGCGTTCAATGCTTGGGTGATAAGACAAGTGCTTGGAGGCATGCTGAGCACTTATTACTACCTCCTGGTTATGTAAGTTCCTTTGATCGGTGTTTGACACCTATTCCCGAGTTTTTAATGCTCGGGATATAGTACCTCGGGGTTTGCGAGTACACCTGATCGGTGCTATGACCATTAATGCTCTGCAATCATGACCGTCAGTTTGAGGTCTTGAGGATGCAGAGACTCATTAATAGCTCTATCATAGTCACTCAAATCCTCTTTAATGAGTTGTCATATCTCCTTAAATGTTGATCCCAACCTACTCACTCGGCTCTTCTAAGTAATAACTCATCGGCGTCTTTTGAGTTCCATAATGACTATATCAATCCACGTGTCAGTTTAGGGGTTGCTGAACTGCCTAAAATTCCGTCATAATTCTTATTTTACTACCAAGCAAACTCTATTGGAAATGTGAACAACCCCAAAACTATCCACAAATAACTCCAGGTTATATGCATTCTCTTTTCTAATAGATTTTTTGAAGAATTAAACTTTATGGTTGATTAAATATATTTTGAAAGATGTTTAAAATAACGTGAGGATTAATTACTAAGTTCTATGGTTAGTTCTTATAATTTTTTTTCCTGAAAAGTTGAGCTTGATTTTGACTCTAATATATACTTGAAAACTCATACTGGGTTGAACTTGAGCTTGAGTTCTACTACTTCTAACCGAGTTGTGAATTCTATAATACTTGAGGGAGAAAAACTGAATCAGCTCTTGATGAGGTGTGTTAGACGTGTAATGCAAAGTGAGTAAGAATGTATAAAGAAATTAAGTGGTTTGCCAATCTAAAGAGTTGATTTAATCCACTGTAATAAAAATTTTTGCTCCTCGGCAATGTATTGCATAAGGAAGAAGAAGGTTATAGACTAGGATTTCTTGCTTATGGCCCAAGGCAATGTACATGCGTGCCTTTTCTAAAAAATAATGGTGCAATCCTAACAAACTTATCAAATAATATTTAAAGGAATATTTGATTGTTAGAGGCTATTCTCTTAGATGTGACGTGACTTTTTACAAACGATACGTGGTTTTCAAAAGGTGATAACTATTGTCCAAGGTAAGTTTTATGGGTGGAGTCTTTTTTTTACCGTTTCCTCGTGATTCCCAAGCTATTACTTGTCATCGAACAATTATGACAAACCTCGCCTGTTCAAGTTCAGGTTGGCGCATTGACAGTTATCCAAAGTATTTATATAATTCGAATTAAACATTAACAGTAAAATTTAAATCTATTAAGTATACTATTATATGTCAACTATTTAATCAAAATAAAATGTTAATAATTAGATACTAAAACAATACATTTACTGTGACGCAGAACAACACGTATAGAAATAATTCAAAAAATCAAATATAACTCGAACTCTATATAATCACAATTTTCTTGAAACAGATTTGAAAGATATGGTGTATGATGGTGGTGAGTCTGGTGACTGATGATGAAGCCGAAGGGTAATGGTGATGAAGAAGTAGAGGCTATGTATAGAAGAAAAGAACTGGTAGAAGACTGCGTGGACTTGGAAGTCTTTGGTTTTGGATTGATTATTGGGCGGCTATAGCACGTTCCCAAGTTAGCTTTCATATTTTTTTTTCCAAAGCCCTACATTTCTAATTCATCAATGATATTTTTACGGGAGTTCAAATGAGCCACTTTTAGAAAATTTCTATAATTCGAGGAATGCTATACGAACATAAAAAATTAATATAATTTATTGATATAATGATATATACATCATGAAATCTCAATAAAAAAGTTTAAAAGTTGTGATCACAATAACATTAAATCACTTCATTGTTACATCATTAGATCAACAAATTAATTTAATTTTCTAAATAACAGTAGTATTACTAATTGAGTTGTCACATCATTAATTTTAACAAATTAGGTTAATTTCTTAAATGACAATAGTATTACTAATTGAGTTCAACTCAAAAGTTAATTTAAGAGTAATGTTAAATGAGATTAAAAAATTTGACTTAATTTATTACCCTAATAATGTGACTTCATTGTAATCGTTATATTAACACAAAATTCTAATGTTTAATGTGATTCACAATTAACACAATGATTATAGTGAATTAGATCAATAAAATAAGTCAATAAATTATGTCTCACTAACATTCTTGAAATTTTATCCCATTGGTTGTTCTCTCCTAGGTTAATAAATCCAAGGAATTTGATTACTATAGTGAAAAAAAATATTTACAAATGTGATAAAAACACTTATAGATACAGTAAAAACACTCACAAATGTGGTAAATTTTTTTGTATCAAATAAAAGTGGTAAAAATAGTTATTATAAATGTAATAAAACACCCACAAAAGTGATAAATCACATACAAAAATGATAAATTTTTTAGTTAGAAAATAACCCCATAAAAGTTATAAAAACACCCATTAAAGAGGTAAAATAACTCATAAAAGTTATAAAAACACATATTACAGTGGTAAAAGTTAGACGTAAAATACCATAATAATTTTTTTTCGGTACCGTAATTAAATCCAAATCTAAGATAAGATAAATGGAGGGATGCCCCTTGGCTTCTTTCTCCTGTTGAACTACTTTGTTCCAGTCACCAGGCAAGATACCATAAGTGCTCAATAAGGGAAGGAGTTTGCATCGCCGTGTGAAATCCTCCGGTCAAACTTTAATGTTTGGCACGCCACTACGAGAATGATATAAGATAGATCACACAGCTAAAGTATTAAAATGTGGATGAGAAATGAATGGCCAATGTCTATTATCAGAGCTTGCACCACTTTGGATGAGGACAAATTGATAATTGCTCTATTATGAGAGCTCTGTTACCTACCCAAGACCCAAATTGCCAATATGTAAATTTCGAAAATTACTAAAATGTTTTTTTTTTGTAAGATAGGCTACAACACCAAAAATTAGGCTTCGTGGAATATTCAAACCTTTAATCTATCCTCGTGGCAAATTTATGAGGTGATTAAACTGCCACTAGACTAACCTTTATTTGTGTGCAAACATTTCAGTAATGAGCTAGTCAATGCGATCTACATTACTCTCAAATGTCGACAAGTCAATCATCATACATGTGTATAACTATATATTCCTGTCTATATATACGGCGATAAGATTTGGTTTTGTTGGTTTTTTTTTTGTGGTGGAGAGAGAGAGAGAGAGATGGAGTGATTGACCAAAACACCATTTTCTTCTATACTTTGTTATATTTTTCTTTGATACTAGCAATGAATCATGTGCATTGCATGTAAATAATTTTCGTATACAAAATATTAATAAAAAATATTATATATATATATATGTGATTTGTTCAATTTCGGATGGGTGTTTGAGAAAGAGAGAGAAGGAAAGAGAGAGAAGATAAAAGTTTTCAAACTAGACAGTGGGAGAGAGAAGCTAAAAGGTTTTTTAACTGATTTGTATGACGATTGGAGAATTTTTGTCTCGTTTTCTGATAGATAGAACTTGTTCAAAAACAAGGTTAAACAAAAGAAAATTAAGAGACATAATTGATGTCGCTGTCTGCTCACTTTTTCTAGCGGCAGATAATCATATGGTGGAGGATAGAAAAAGGTGGAAAGTATATTACTTGTTATAAATAATGTTATAAATTATAGTTAATACATAATGGAAGAGTCATGACCCTCTGTCTACCTAATTTTCTTTATTGTGAATAATAATTAATACACTACACGAAAAATGTTTTTTAGCAGCAAAAAAAATCGTCACTAACAATGAATAATTCGCCACTAAAATTTTTTGCGACAAAAAAATTTGGTTGCCAATAATCATAGTTTGCTTGAGATAGATTTACTCTCTTTTGGTATTTAAGGTTGATAAACAATTGTCTCTCAAAATAAAACAAATTTCGTACTTGAAGATACGTCACTTTAATCTTCAAGATACTAGCTAACACAATTTTGTGTTTATACTTGAACTGAACAAAAAAAGACTAATGTAACAATATGCACAGAGAAAGAGATAAAAAAAAAACTTTGAATACTGAATTCATAATTATGATGGATTGAAAATAGTTTAAACACAGTTTATTTATAGACTCTTAGTGGTTGTTCAGATTGCCTGAGAAGGCATGTGATATTACAGTTCGAATTGAAGAGACACATTCTTTAAAACTAAACAGACAAAAGACACATTTGGAATTCTAGAATGAACACATCCAATTTCAATGCCAAATTCAAAGTAACAGACAAAAAATTTAAAAATCCATTTGGAATTTAAATTTTAGTTGAGAATTTAATTACGATCCATGTTCAAATAAGTCACTTTGAGATATAATTTTTCATTTAATATTTTATAATTTTAAACAAATAAATATACGATATTCATCTCCTTGTGGAGGAGAACGAGTTTAAACTCAGTCCCAGTAATTTTAAAGTGTGAGTTTCACTTTTATTTAAATTTTAAGTTGCTCAAATAAATTTATTTAAATTCCAATAGTGACCAGGGTAGCCAACCTAACCCGCATGGCCCGAACAATATATTTTCTTCCGGCATCATCAGTTAGTTATTAAACACAACATTTAGCTAATTGACAAAAATTAAAAACTGCATTTATTCTTTTGTCCTATTTACGATGGGCTAAATATTTTTCATAAAAAGTGATATCCTCCATTCCAATTGCGGGACCCACATTCTTTTCAAGTAGGGTCTCGTCACATCCTGATAATAGACTACACTAGAAGACTATAATAAGCTACTTCACCTTGCACAAGTCGGTCACCGTGAAGGCCAAAAATCTGGACCCCACCCGAAGAGCATTCACTTTCTCAACGTCCAACGGGATTCAAGATCTCGGAGAACACAGTCTCCGACTTCAATCTCTCACTGCTGACCGTTGATCTTGACATGTTTTCGACTGACGCAGTAAATACTTCATCATCATCGGTGGTCGTTGCCTCTCCATGTAGAAGAGGAACAGAGGGACTGGCCAACGCCGCCGGGAGCAACCAACCACCACCGTGAGCCATCTTCTCAGCAGCCTCTTGAAGTTGCAGAGCAAATTCAAGGCCCCACACAACATCATTCATTCCTGGACGATCGATCCCATTATCACGCAAGCAACTTTCACCTACTTCGCCAAACTTCCTCAAACACTCTGGCGCAATCTCACCCTTTAGATTAGTATCAATAATCCGATCAAGGGTCCCTTTTCTATAAGAATTTCGGGCCCACTCAGCCAAACTCATGTGCTCCTTGGGAAATTTTGGAATTACAGCTGGTCTACCACACAAAACCTCAAATAAAACAACCCCAAATGAGTACACATCAGATTTTTCTGTCAATTGTTGTCGTTTATAATATTCTGGATCAATATACCCGAAACTACCCTTCACCACTGTACTAACATGGCTATGACCCACATCCTTGGGACCCAATTTGGATAACCCGAAATCAGAGACCTTAGCTACCCATTTCTCATCCAATAAAATGTTGGTGGATTTCACATCACGGTGAATGATTGTGCGTGTTGCACCTGTGTGGAGATAATGCAGTCCCCTTGCTGCACCAATGCAAATCTGAAGGCGTTGCTTCCACGGAAGGTGTTGTTTCTTCGATTTGTAAAGATGATCACGAAGGGTTCCATGGGCCATATAATCATACACCAAAATCATCTCACGGTTGTCATTGCAATAACCGATCAACGACACCAAATGGAGGTGGCGTAACTTTGATAGCATACCGATCTCTGTTTGGAACTCGCGGATCCCTTGATTTGATGATGGGTTCAATCGTTTGATCGCAACAGTGGTTGCACCGTTGTCGATGTGGCCCTTATACACGTTACCAAATCCCCCTGCCCCGATGACAAAATTGTCATCGAAGTTGCATGTAGCTGATGTGATCTCCTCAAGTGAAAAGCGTCTACATAGATCAGACGGTAGTGATGAACCGCTGGTTTTTGTGGACTTTGAACCGTCAGATAAGGGGACCCACGACGACTTGGGCTGTGTTGAGCCCAAGTCTTTCACTCTCCTCCGTCGTCGGACAATCAAGAAACCTAAGATAAAGACCAGAACAGACCCTCCTCCGACTACGCTACCGATAATAACCGGCAAAGTAGATGTTTTTTTATTGTTCTTCTTCTGCGGTGACAATGGGAATGGTCCTGGCGGTGGACTGAGTACAAGTTCAGGGTTTGCCCCGGCGAGACTGTCGTCTGTTCCACTCAATTTGAAGATTTCCAAACCATTCAATATAGCATCAGCGTACTGAGGTTTAAAGTCGAGCTCAGGGTACATAGCGAGCCACAAGTCTTGCTTGTTCCGGCAACCATCTGGGTCGGTGACCATGATGACGTATTCTTTGAACACCGGGATTCCAGTGCCACCACTCCAGTGGATAACATCTGCTCTTCTCTGTGCCGTTTGATTGTTGATGTATATTATAAAAACCCTTTGGTTCTTCAAGGCCACCTCCAATTGAATCTCGCAGAAATGGAGTCTGAGAAGATAATAAAACCCAGAATCAACAGGAAATCTCCATGTCAGATTGTATGTTAGACTTTGGTTGCCCATGGTCCTTGTGGTTGTGTAAACGATCTTCGGTGCAGTGTAAGGTGGTGTGTCCTTTGTATACTGGATTGGGACTTCCCTGTGAGGTGTAAACCCATAAGCTGCGTAGGTGTAAGCATCGTCCGAAAGCCATAAACGAAACATTCCGGTATCATCGGTTATTGAGACCTCATTACCGCCAACATTTAATCGATAGAGAGTCTCAAGAGCAGAGGTGTTATCAATATTGAATGATATTTGGTTCGGGACTAGTGGGATTTGATAATCACTGCCGCGAATGTAGAGATTTTCCGGCATTGAAACGACTTCAATGCCATTAACGAAGGCGTAAGAGTTTGGAGACGGCGAAAAGGTTATGTTCAGTTTCTGGTTGTTCCTAACGTTGACGATGAATTCCTTTCTTAGGGAAGCAACTGCGGGTTTCATGGCAGAGACAGTGAGAAAGGCACTGAAGTTGCTTAAGAGGGTGTAGCCGCCGGAGGTGACAGAGAAGAAAGAGTTGGCTATGTCGAGGTCAGAGTAATTAACTGGGTAGAAATAGAGACGAATGAATTTTGGTCCGACGGTGATGGGGAAGGTGTAGGTGAATTCAGAGCGAAAGATCCGAGCAGTCATGTAGGGGACTTGATTGACAGAAGTTTTTTGCTCGGATGCTTTATATTCCAAAGAAGTTATTGAAATGTTTGACGGCGAGAATTTGGAGCGGGCATCTCCCTCCCAGGTTCGGCCGTCGGCATCGTTAGAACTAGAAGATAAACCACAGTTGAGGAGAAAGTAGTCGCTTGGACTGTAAGGTGGCGCGTTGGCGGTGTCGCTGATGGCAGCGGCGGCAGTGGTGATGGAGAAGAGGAGATAGAGAAAGAAGGAGATGTGTAGAGTTATGGTGTACATGGGAGGTATGAGCTTTGAAAGATATGGTGTATGATGGTGGTGAGTCTGGTGATCGATGATGAAGCTGAAGGGTAATGGTGATGAAGAAGTAGAGGTTATGTATAGAAGAAAAGTACAGGTAGCACGGGTAGAAGACGGCGTGAACTTGGAAGTCTTTGGTTTTGGATTGATTCCTGGGCGGCTATAACGCGTTCTCAAGTCAGCTTCGTACTTCTCTCCCCAAGGCCTACTTTTCCAATTCATCAATGATATTTGGGAGAATTACACTAGGGCTCACTATATTTATTGCCTAATCACTCAAATTTTTTAATATTTAAAATATTATACGAGTAATGTTATTAAAATATAATTTATAAACATAATTTAAAGATATAATGAATTATCACTAATAATATGATAATAAATTCATTAATGCTACAATAAGATCTATCATTAAATATATTTTACTATCATTTCATTGGTGACAACTAATTATATTTCTAAATTATGTCCTAATAGCATTAGTAATATTATATACAGACCCTTCAAAGTTTATACGCGAATAACACTTAAATTCCTGTTGTCTAGTATATCTGTTAGTAAATTACAACAACACTCACTGAAGTTTGTAGATATGTAATATTTAGACCCCTCAATTTTAAAAATTATAATTAAACTAAAAAAACTTCAATCAAAGATAGAATATCAAATATTTTAAATTTATAACCAAAATTTTTATTCTATTATGACACTTATTAAAATAAGATTAAAAATAAAAATCAATTTTTTCTTAAAAAATCATAATTACTATATAATTATTCTATCTATTAGAATTTAATTTGGTCATTTAAACGTCCAAATTAAATTATCAGACTACCCCAATTAAAGTTAGAATATATTGCTTTCATTACAGATTGACTCCTATTTTATTTTTTAGTTTTATTCTAGTAGATAATATAATTGTACACTAAATAAGATTTTTTAAGAAAAAATTAAATTTTTATTTTTATAAATGACATAATATAACATAATTTTTTTGTCCTATTATGAATGACTTAGAACCCTTGTTTGATTTTTTAATTTTATTCCAATAGATAATATAATTATATACTAATTACGATTTTTTTAAAAATTGACTTTTTATTTTTAATTTATTTCAGTAAATAATACAGTAGAACATGAATTTTGGTTATAAAATTTAAAATTTTTGATATTTTATCTTTAATTGAAATATTTTTGGTATAAGTATAACATTTTAAATTTGAGGGATCTAAATATTATACACCTACAAATTTTAGAAAGTATATGTGTAATTTACTAACAAATATATTAATAGACAACAAGAGTTTAAATGTTATGGCATATAAATCAGGGGATTTATATGTAATATTTTAAATTTCAGGAGATCTGAGAGATTAAATGATAAATTTTAGAGAGTCCATGATATTTTAATGGGAGTTCAAGTGAGCCACTTTTAGACAATTTCTATTGAATTTGAGAAATATTATTTAGACTTAAAAAATTAATATAATTTATTGATATAATGATGTATTCGTCGTAGAGTTTCAAAATAAAATTTAAAAGTTGTGGTCACAATAACATTATTAAACTATGTCATTATCACATTATTGGTCAACAAATTAGGTTAATTTTCTAAATGACAATAGTATTACTAATTGAGTTCAACTCAAAAGTTAATTTAAGAATAATGTTATTGAGATTTAAAAATTTGGACTTAATTTGTTACCCTAATAACGTGACTTAATTTTAACCGTTAGATTAACACCAAGTTCTAATATTTAATGAGATCTACAGTTAACTCAATGATTATAGTGAATTAAATCAATAAAATAGATCAAGAAATTACGTCTCACTAACATTCTCGAGACTCTATCGTACTGGTTGTTCTCTCAGGGGTTAATAAATCCAAGGGATTTGATTACTATTGCAAAAAAAATATTCAAGGTTGATAAGCAATTGTCTCTCAAAATAAAACAAATTTCGTACTTGAAGATACGTCACTTTAATTTTCAAGATACTAGCTAACACAATTTTGTGTTTATACTTGAACTGAACAAAAAAAACTAATGTAACAATATGCACAGAGAAAGAGATAAAAAAAAAAACTTTGAATACTGAATTCATAATTATGATGGATTGAAAATAGTTTAAACACAGTTTATTTATAGACTCTTAGTGGTTGTTCAGATTGCCTGAGAAGGCATGTGATATTACAGTTCGAATTGAAGAGACACATTCTTTTAAACTAAACGGACAAAAGACACATTTGGAATTCTAGAATGAACACATCCAATGTCAATGCCAAATTCAAAGTAATAGACAAAAAATTTAAAAATGCATTTGGAATTTAAATTTTAGTTGAAAATTTAATTACGATCCATGTTCAAATAAGTCACTTTAAGATATAATTTTTCATTCAATATTTTATAATTTTAAACAAATAAATATACGATATTCATCTCCTTGTGGAGGAGAACGAGTTTAAACTCAGTCCTAGTAATTTTAAAGTGTGAGTTTCACTTTTATTTAAATTTTAAGTTGCTCAAATAAATTTATTTAAATTCCAATAGTGACCAGGGTAGCCAACCTAACCCGCATGGCCCGAACAATATATTTTCTTCCGGCATCATCAGTTAGTTATTAAACACAACATTTAGCTAATTGACAAAAATTAAAAACTGCATTTATTCTTTTGTCCTATTTACGATGGGCTAAATATTTTTCATAAAAAGTGATATCCTCCATTCCAATTGCGGGACCCACATTCTTTTCAAGTAGGGTCTCGTCACATCCTGATAATAGACTACACTAGAAGACTATAATAAGCTACTTCACTTTTTAGAAGTGAGTCAACGAGAAGGCCAAAAATCTGAACCCCACGGAGGACCCACCAAAAGAACATTCACCTTCTCAACGTCCAGCGAGATTCATGATTTCAGAGAACACAGTCTCCGACTACAATCCCTCATTGCTGACCGTTGATCTTGACACGTTTTCAACTGACCTTGTAAATACTTCATCATCATCGGTGGTCGTTGCCTCTCCATGTGGAAGAGGAACAGAGGGACTGGCCAACGCCGCCGGGAGCAACCCACCATCTCCGTGAGCTATCTTCTCAGCAGCCTCTTGAAGTTGCAGAGCAAACTCAAGGCCCCACACAACATCATTCATTCCTGGACGATCGATCCCATTATCACGAAAGCAACTATCACCTACTTCGCCAAACATCCTCAAACACTCTGGCGCAATCTCACCCTTTAGATTAGGATCAACAATCCGATCAAGGGTCCCTTTTCTATAAGAATTTTGGCCCACTCAGCCAAACTCACTTGCTCCTTCGAAAAATTTGGAACTATAGCTGGTCTAGCACATAAAACCTCAAATAAAACAATCCCAAATGAGTACACGTCAGATTTTTTTATCGTGTATAATATTCTAGATCAACATACCCGAAACTATCCTTCACCAATATACTAACGTGGCTATGACCCACATCCTTGGGACTCAGTTTGAATAACCCGAAATCAAAAATCTTAACCCCCATTTCTCATCAAATAAAATTAAAATGTTGGTGGACTTCGCATACATCACGGTGAATGATTGTGCGTTTCGCACTTGTGTGGAGATAATGTAGTCCCCTTGCTGCGCCAATGCAAATCTGAAGGCATTGTTTTCACGGAAGAGGTTGTTTCTTTTATTTGTAAAGATGATCACGGAGGGTACCATTGGCCATATAATCATACACTAAGATCATCTTACGGTTGTCCTTACAATAACCGATCAACGACACCAGATGGAGGTAGCGTAACTTCGATAGCATACCGATCTCTGTTTGGAACTCACGGGCCCCTTGATTTGGTGATTGGTTCAATCGTTTGATCGCAATGGTGGTTGCACCGTTGTCGATGTGGCCTTTATATACATTACCAAATCCTCCTGCCAAGTTGCATGCAGCAGATGTGATCTCCTCAAGTGAAAAGCGTCTACATAGATCACACGATAGTGATGAACCGCTGGTTTTTGTGGACTTTGAACCGTCAGATAAGGGGACCCACGACGACTTGGGCTGTGTTGAGCCCAAGTCTTTCACTCTCATCCGTCGTCGGAAAATCAAGAAACCCAAGATCAAGACTAGAACAGACCCTCCTCCGACTACGCTGCTGATAATGACCGGCAACCTAGGTGCTTTTTTATTGTTCTTCTTCTGCGGTGACAAGGTGAATGGTCCCGGCGGTGGACTGAGTACAAGCTCAGGGTTTGCCCCTGCCAGACTATCGTCTGTTCTATTCAATTTGAAGATTTCTAAACCATTCAATATAGCATCACCGTACTCGGGTCTAGAGTCGAGCTTAGGGTACATAGCGAGCCACAAGTCTTGCTTGTTCCGGCAACCATCTGGGTCGGTGACCATGATGACGTATTCTTTGAACACCGGGATTCCAGTGCCACCACTCCAGTGGATAACATCTGCTCTTCTCTGTGCCGTTTGATTGTTGATGTATATTATAAAAACCCTTTGGTTCTTCAAGGTCACCTCCAATTGAATCTCGCAGAAATGGAGTCTGAGAAGATAATAAAACCCAGAATCAACAGGAAATCTCCATGTCAGATTGTATGTTAGACTTTGGTTGCCCATGGTCCTTGTGGTTGTGTAAACGATCTTCGGTGCAGTGTAAGGTGGTGTGTCCTTTGTATACTGGATTGGGACTTCCCTGTGAGGTGTAAACCCATAAGCTGCGTAGGTGTAAGCATCGTCCGAAAGCCATAAACGAAACATTCCGGTATCATCGGTTATTGAGACCTCATTACCGCCAACATTTAATCGATAGAGAGTCTCAAGAGCAGAGGTGTTATCAATATGAATGATATTTGGTTCGGGACTAGTGGGATTTGATAATCACTGCCGCGAATGTAGAGATTTTCCGGCATTGAAACGACTTCAATGCCATTAACGAAGGCGTAAGAGTTCAGAGACGGCAAAAAGGTTATGTCCGGTATCTGGTTGCTCCTAACGTTGACGATGAATTCCTTTCTTAGGGAAGCAACTGCGGGTTTCATGGCAGAGACGGTGAGAAAGGCACTTGAGACATTTTCAAGTACTCTAAGATGAAGATACGTGTTCTTAGTATCAGTAAATTTTTTTCTATAAATGCGACACGTATCCGTCGGATCACAAGTTCCTATTTCCCGAGATATTGTTGATAGGGATCAATGACATTCAGTACGTTACATACCGACACGTATCCCTCGGGTCGGATAGGGTACGTCGGTCCCTACATGTACCATTCTCCTCTTGGTATCGAGATGTACCCGTTCAGGATGACGTTCTCTACTCCTACAGAGGCTATTGATGTATAGGTCATTAGCCTAGGTTAGGCTAGGTTAGCCATCATGACCTCGTCTTACACAATTGGTGTTAGAAAGCATAAGATGGCAGATGACACAACCAATGAGAAATAGACGCGTGACATATTGTGTCATATCAGAGACAAAAAAGATCGGATGACCTTGTTGATACACGACTTGAGAAAACAAGCATTTAATTACATCATTCCCTTGATGAGACAACATTTAATGCGGTAAGGCTCGGAAGTGAAAGGTAATAAATGTCCCTAAGGCCGGATATTTATTACATCCTTACCGAGAGGAGCTCATTAAACAGTCGGCAGGCCGATGACACAGCCTTAATTGCTCAGGATCCCAAGCAGTTAAAAGAAAAGACATTCCTCATAGGAATCAGTGCGCATGTTGCCCGTATCTAATGATCACCTACTGACAGCAATCATGAGTATTTGAGGTATAAATACTCCTCACAAAAGGCAGAATAGGGAGAGGTGAAACATTTTCTCAAACATATACTCAGTATTTTCTTTTTCCTCTCCCTCAAAAATTGACTTAATCGTCGGAGGGGATACGCTGAAAAACACTCCAGCGCCCTTTTAACTTTTTTTTTTTTGTTTCAGGAACCTTCCTCAGCCTTACTGGATCGTTCTGTTGATCCACGAAGGTCTCCCATTATCGTTCTAGATTAACACCGAACCTCACAGGCTGTTCCAAGCAGTAGAGTTGACCACTCGATTGATTCACTCGAGTTCACAAAGGGAGAGATCTGTTCTCGTATTTATATTGTGTAAGATCCAGCACGCACAGCACTGAGGTTGCTTAAGAGGGTCTAGCCGTCGGAGGTGACGGCGAAGAAAGAGTTGGCTATGTCCAGGTTAGAGTAATTAATTGGGTAGAAATAGAGACGAATGAATTTTGGATGGGCGGAGATTGGGAAGGTGTAGGTAAATGGAGAGGGAAAGATACGAGCAGTCATGTAGGGGACTTGATTGACAGAAGGGTCTTGCTTGGATACTGTAGATTCGGAAGATGTGTTTGAAATGTTTGACGGCGAGAATTTGGAGCGGGCATCTCCGCTCCAGGTCCGGCCGTCGGCATCGTTCAAACTAGAAGATGAACCATAGTCGAGGAAAAAGTAGTCGCTTGGAATGTAAGGTGGCGCGTTGGCAGTGTCGCCGATGACAGCGGTGACGGCGGTGGTGTTAGAGAAGAGGACGTAGAGAAAGAAGGAGATGTGCAGAGTTATGGTGAACATGGGTGGTACGAGCTTCGAAAGATATGGTGTATGATGGTGGTGAGTCTGGTGACTGATGATGAAAAATATCATTAAATACTTGTAGTAGAAGACTCCATGAACTTGCGAAGTCTTTGGTTTTGGATTGATTCTTGGGCGGCAATAACCCGTTCCCAAGTCAGCATTCATATTTTTTTCCACAAGGCCTGCTTTTCAAATTCATCAATGATATTTTTATGGGAGTTCAAATGAGCCACTTTTAGATAATTTATAAAATTCAACTAATGTTAATCAGATTTAAAAAATTGATATAATTTATTAATATAATAATATATACGTCATGGAGTCTCAATCAAAAAATTAAAAAGTTGTAATCACAATAACTCTATTAAACCATGTTATTGTCATATCATCAGGTCAATAAATAAGTTAATTTTCTAAATAACAATGGTATTACTAATTGAGTTCAATTCAAAAGTTAGTTTAAGAGTAATGTTATTGAAATTTAAAAATTTAACTCAATTTGTTAACCTAATAATGTGATTTCATTGTAATCGTTTGGTTACTAACATATTTTAATGTTGAATAAGATTCATAATCAACCCAACGATTATAGTGAATTAAGTCGGTAAAATAAGTCAATAAACTAGGTCTCACTAACATTCTCGAGAGACTATCCCAATGGTTGCTCTTTACGAGGTTAATAAATCTAAGGGATTTCATTACTATAGCGAAAAAAAAAATTATAAATGTGATAAAAACATCTATAAATATAACAAAACATCCACAAATATCGTAAATTTTTTTGTATAAAAAAATTGGTAAAATAATTACTACAAATGTAATAAAAACACTCACAAAAATGCTAAATCACATGCAAAAATGATAAATTTTTTAGTCATAAAATAATCCAAAAAAGTTATAAAAACACCAATTAAAATGATAAAATAACCCACAAAAATTATAAAAATATCTAATACAATGGTAAAAGTTAGACGTACAATAACAAAATTATTTTTTTTGGTACCGTAATCAAATCAAAATCTAAGATAAAGGAAAAGAGAAATGAAGGGATGCCCCTCTGGCTTCTTTCTCCTGTTGAACTACTTTGTTCCGGTCACCAGGAAAGATACCATAAGTGCTCAATAAGGGAGGGAGTTTGCACTGCCGTGTGAAATCCTCTGGTCAAAGTTTAATGTTTGGCACACCACTACGAGAATGATATAAGATAGATCGCACTGCTCAAAGTATTAAAATGTGGATGAGAAATGAATGGCCATCAATAAACTCGTAGTGGCATGAAATTTTCAAATAGATCCTAAAAAATTTTTAAATTGTAGTAGGGACAACTGTCCCATTCTAGATTCGTCCCTACAAGATTCATTTGTATTATGTATGATGATACTAAAAATTAGTTAAATCTAAGATCAGACTAGAAGTAGATTAGGAACTTACCCCCCTAATAGGGGGCCCACATGACAATGCCGAACTCGAGCAATTCAACTTAGACATCTCAATCCCAATTCAGATCTTCGAGTTCAAATCTCATCACAGGTCTTCAAGGTCAATAACCATTGCCGACGTGACCCCCCATGCACACTACGACAACAACATCTCACACTTTTTAGAAGATCACATCTCACCCCAAGAATACAGCTTCTATCAGCTAAAAATCCCACCTTATGAGTCACAACAACCCCAAAGGTATTACGATCACGATCGTTACACAAGGATTACGATGATTACGCAGAAATCATGTGGAGAACACTATAAATACGGATCAATCCCACGTTTTGTAGCCAAGCCTAAGAGTTTACTTTCTACAAAAACCTTGCAATCTTCTTCAAATAATAACAAACTCTCTCAGGAGCATAATACTCCATTAGAGTGAAATAACTAAACTTTTGAGCCGATGAACCACTATAAATATCATGTCTATCAAGTTTCACTGATTGTTATTGTCTATGTGATTGACTGTTCAACACTACGAGCCTAGTAGCTCTAACTGGATGTCCCAATGAATCCCCATAGTCGTTCTTCACGAATTTCAAGTCCATTTTCCTTTTTTTGAATCTCGAACTCAGCCACTCAATCACGTAAACCACACCATCAATGTGATTCGCTTTTAAATTTACAAAGAATGATCTACAATTAATAGAAATTGAAAAAAACTATGAGAATACAAATCCTATTTAAATGAGTGAATTCCGGTAATTTTGAACAGTTACTATATTTAACGAAAAAGAATAAAAAATATGATTTGACCCAAATAGTATTGGAGGTTAGCATGGTTTGATGTTTGATAGAGAAAGTGTTTGATGGTAGTGAGTGGTGAGAACTCAAGGGGAACAAAGGTAATCGTAGAAGACTGCGTGGACTTAGAAATCTTTGGATTGTGATTAATTTATATATGTTGAATGCCACTTAAATTTATAATTAACGGTTTATGATTCAAAAAATTGACGAAAAATATAAGAGAGTTAAAGTGAGCGGATACTGGATAATTTCGGGTTATTAAATTATATAAGGAGAAAGAAAAACAGAGTGGTTAGGCTACTATGGTCTTTAACCCAACACGTGTTTGACGTAGGTTTTGCTTTAGCTAGGCTTGTTAAATGATTTGTGTAGTTCAAGTCCGCCTCAATTTTAACTTATTAATATCATTAAATAAACCGAATTTTTATCAAAATTTTAAACTCTTTTAAAAAACAAATCGAATTTGAGTAACATGTATCTCAAAAAATTCAGCTCGACTCAAATAGGTTGCTTATCTATAAAAGATTCTTATTTTACTACCAAGCAAACTCTATTCGAAATGTGGACACCCCCAAAACTATCCACTAATAACTCCAGGCTCTATGCATTCTCTTTCCTTCTGTCTTTGCTAATAGATTTTTTAAAGAACTAAACTTTATGGTTGATTAAATATATTTTGAAAGATGTTTAAAACAACATGAGGATTAATTACTATGTTCTACAGTAAATTTTTTTGCTGAAAAGTTGGGCTCGATTTGGAAACTAATATATACTTGAAAACTCATACTGGGTTGAGCTCGAGCTCTACTTCTAACCGAGCTATGAATTCAGTAATACTTGATGGTGTAAAAATCAAGAAGAGTGAGGGAGAATAGTTGAACGAGCTCTTGATGAGGTGTGTTAGACATGTAATGCAAAGTGAGTTAGAATGTATAAGAAATTAAGTGGTTCACCCATGTGAAGATATGAGTTAATCTACTATAATAGAGGTTCTTATTCATTAGTATTGTTTAAGGAAAAACAATATTAAAGACTAGGGTTTCTTGCTTATGAGTGTTGGCCCAAGGTAACAAATATGCATGCCTTTTCTACAAAATAATGGTGTAATCCTAACAAACTTGTCAAAGAATATTTGGCCATTAGAGGATTTCCTCCTAAATGTGACATGGCTTTTTAGAAAAGTTATGTGATTTTCTAAATGATGTGACTTCTTGTCTAAGATAGGCTTTGCGGGTGAGAGTACTTTTTAATCACTAGTAGTAAAATCTAAATCTACTAAGTATATTGTTATATGCTAACTATTTAATAAAAATAGAATTTTAATAACTAGAAACTGAAACAATGCACTTAGAGTCTGAGAAGATAATAAAACCCAAAATCAACAGGAAATCTCCATGTCAGTTTGTACTTTTGACTGTCGTTGCCCATGGTCCTTGTGGTTGTGTAAACGATCTTCGGTGCAGTGTAAGGTAGTGTCTCCTGTGTATATCGGATTGGTACTTCCCTGTGAGGTGGAAACCCATGAGCTGTGTAGGTGTAATCGTCGTCCGAAAGCCATAAACGAAACATTCCGGTATCATCGGTTATTGAGACCTCATTACCGCCAACATTTAATTGGTAGAGAATCTCAAGAGCAGAGCTGTTTTCAATGAAAAATTGTTGCTTCTGGCTCACTAGTGGGATTTGATAATCACTGCCGCGAATGTAGAGATTTTCCGGCATTAAAACGACTTCAATGCCATTAACGAAGGCGTGAGATTTCGGAGACGGCAAAAAGGTTATGTTCAGTCTCTGGTTGTTCCTAACGTTGACGATGAATTCCTTTCTTAGGGAAGCAACTGCGGGTTTCATGGCAGAGACATTGAGAAAGGCACTGAAGTTGCTAAAGAGGGTGTATCCACCGGAGGTGACAGAGAAGAAAGAGTTGGCTATGTCCAGGTCAGAGTAATTAACTGGGTAGAAATAGAGACCAATGAATTTTGGTCCGGCGGAGACTGGGAAGGTGTAGGTGAATTGAGAGTGAAAGATACGAGCAGCCATGTAGGGGACTTGATTGGCAGAAGGGTTTTGCTCGGATGCTGTAGATTCCAAAGATGTGCTTAGCCAGAATTTGGGGGGTGCATCTCCGTCTCAGGTGCAGCCGTCGGTATAGTTAGAACTAGAAGATGAACCACAGTTGAGGAGAAAGTAGTTGCTTGGAATGTAAGGTGGCGAGTTGGCGGTGTCGCCGATGGCAGTGGCGGTGGTGGAGAAGAGGAGGTAGAGAAATAAGGAGATGTGTAGAGTTATGGTGGACATGGATGGTATGAGCTTTGAAAGATATGGTGTATGATGGTGGTGAGAGGTGATGTGACAGAAGAAAAGTACAGGTAGCTAGTACTGCTAGAAGACTGCATGGACTTGGAAGACTTTGGTTTTGGATTGATTCTTGGGCGGCTGTAACAGGTTCCCAAGTCAACCTCATATTTTTTACCACAAGGCCTATTTTTCAAATTAGTAATGTTCGTAAATTTAAAAATTAGATTTGATAATATTAATTATTTTATAGATAATAAATTTTAATAAATACTAAAATTTATAGTAAAATTAATAATTAAGATTATCAAGTCTAGCGTTTAAATCTACTTTTTAAGTCCATGTAACATTGCTCTTTCAAATTTGTCAATGATATTTGGGAGAATTATAATAAGGCTTTCTAAAGTTTGTCATTTAATCACTCAAATTTTTTAACATTTAAAATGTTATACATAGTTTGTTAAAGTTTTTACTAGCGTAACACTTTGATCTCTATCATCAATATCAGTTAATAAATTGCAACCAAACCCCCTAAAATTTGTAAATGTGTAATACTTAGACTTCTCAAATTTAAAATGTTATACTTAAATCAAAAATACTTCAATCAAAGATAAAATATCAAATATCAAATATTTTAA